AGATTCATGCATTAATTTAAAGTAGCATCATCAAACATCTATATTAATGATACTAAGGTGATAGAGCTACCAATAAATAAATAAATAAAATCATTATTATTACATGGTTCTCTAGATTATCCCAAGGATTTTAAAGAGATTCATGCATTATTTTGATGCAGCATCATTAAGCTCCTATATTAGTGATATCAAGCTGATAGGACTATCATGATACCAAAAAAAAAAAAGATGTTTGTTAGTTGATTATATAGTTTTGTAATGTATCATGAGATATCGATCATTAAGCACCTATATTAGTGATATCAAGTTGATAGGACTATCATGATACAAAAAAAAAAAAAGATGTTTATTATTGATTATATAGTTTTGTAATGTATCATGAGATATCTCAATGATAAATTACATGATATTGAGAGTTTAAATTACTACAAGATTGTCAAGTTATAAGTTGACTTGTAGAATGTAATCGATACAATTGACAACAAACTAATCATTAATTGCATGGATGCTAAATTCATCACTCATGCAATGTATGGTGAAGGGTGTAATGACACTTGTTATCAATTTTTTTTTAGTTATGCTAGCTATCTCTATATATATAATTTTTTAAATAAAATTTTGTCATAAACCTTCTAGAGAATTGAAGCAACGCTATACTTTACAGAAAAAAAAATCTATTATATTATTTTATTTTTTTAATTTCTCATGTCACCCCTTTCGAAAAATATTACATTAGGTCTTCTAACGTAGAGCTACGTTTGGAGTCCACTGATATGCAGACACTTGACTTCAAGAAAACATGCGCCATTTCCTGTGATCCGGTCCAGTAACACGGGAGAATATTCCTCTTGTGTTATTCAACGTTATTCAGGTGTCATTGTGATGGTATTGATGTGTTATTGTGTTATTATAACACTGGGAATATTCCCAGAACACAATAACACCTGAATACCACCACAATAACACCTGAATAATGTGGAATAACATGGAAGGAATATTCCCCTGTGCTAAAACGATTTTTTTTTATTTTTATGTCACCTCCATGTGTCTGCATATCAGTGGACTCCGAACGTAGCTCTACATTAGGAGTCCTGATGTAATATTTTCCCCACCCTTTCCCTATATTTTGTCCATCTAATGCCTACTTTCTTTTTTATCATCTTAATATTATTTCTTATATTTGAGCTTCCTATCTCTCCACTTGCGCTTTGTATCGGTCTAAGTTTCTTATCTCCACCCTCCATAGATTTTTTTTTCTCTTTGTATCGATCTACTTTCCAAAAAAATTTTATCTTCCTATTAAAACCTTCTTACATATAAAAAATTAAAATGTAATATTTACAAGAAAATTATAGACACATTATTAGGCCTTGCTTGTGCACTTCATAATATTCACAAATATTGTCTATATTGGTGCATTCAACTAAAATTATGGAATCAAAATAATTGAAAAAATAACTTTAAGATAATTTAAATGTTTATCTAATTTTTTTTGCAAATAATTTTATCAAAATAAGCTAAGATGAAATGACGTAAGAGTTTAAATTTATTTTTTAATATAATTTTTATCATTATCTCTAAATTATATGCTAGTGGTCAATTATATTAATCAAGTTTGTTATATCATGTAGCTCCCGACAAATCTTCATTGTCCAGCACGAATCTCGAGGCATGACACAGATTTTGAGATAATATTTTAAGCAAAAGTTGTTTAAACCTTGATAAAAAGTCATCAAGAGCTTCGATTTATGTAAACATATAGTCAAACGGACCGGTTCGATGAGACGGACTTAATGGTATAGGACTTTATGGTATCAAAGTCATTCCAATCCGAGTCAAATTAAGCCCCGGACTTAATGGTATCAAAGTCATTACAATCCGAGTCAAATTAAGCCCATATCAAGTCATTAAATTATTCTTGGGAGATTTCGGAACACATTTGGAATGTCAAACAGTTGTTGAATCTGACAAGTTTATAGTCAAATTGTGTGTCTCAACAAGACAAATCCAACGGGCCTAAGATTATGCAATTCTGACATTGTTAAGGAACTCAAATATTCATTAAACGTCGTTTGATCGGATGAAGCTCTTCAGACCGTCTGATCAAAGTGATTCACATTCTATTCATGTATTAATGACACTCATAACACTATAAATAGAGTTGCACCCCTCACAAGAAGAGAAAGGCTTGAAGCTTCAGAGAGAACTGAAAGATCTGAGAAGGAGCTGAATTATAGCATCATCCCGACCGTCGCTTATCACCGCTCATCGCCATCAACGACCGTCGACCGTCGTAGACACCCGTCGATCGTCGTTAGCCACTATCGATCGTCACCGTCGATCACTATCAACAAGATGTCATCAGTAATCTTCGTGGGACATGAGTTCATCACTACGGTCCATGTGTCAACAACGACCTACATAATTTACAACTCGTGTAGCTCCCGACTCCGACCACCGCGGTTATGGACGTCATTCATACTCGCCCTTATGGCCTATGAGGTTCATAGCTCGTGTAGCTCTCGACTCCGGCCCTCACGGCCTACGGACGTCATTTATATCGCCCATACGACCTAAGCGGTTCACAGCTCATGCAGCTCCCGACTCCAGCCTTCATGACCTACGGATGTCATTCATACTCGCACATACGGACTACCTGGTTCACAGCTCGTGCAACTCCCGACTCTGGCCCCCGCAACCTACGGACGTCATTGATACTTGCCCAAATGACCTACATCATGCAGCTCCCGACTTCGGTCCTCGCGGCCTACATATATCATTCATATTCGCCTCTAAGACCTATGTGGTTCACAACTCATGCAGTTCCCGACTCTAGTCGCGGCGGCCTACAGACGTCATTCATACTCGCCATTATGGCCTATGTGGTCCACAACTCCCGTAACTACTTACTACGATTTTTTTGGTCAATCAATGCTTCTGGAGCAACCATCTACAACACTCATGACGGAATACTATCTCCACAACAATCAATAATGACCCTTGCAACCTATTATCACCAAGATCTGTAGCCAGAGTATAGTTATACAACTTCGTAATTCCTTCTTTTCTAATTTAAAGGAAGAATAGACAGGTGTACTCATCATTCACATTAGATTATTTCAACTAGGCTAGGCCGAGTGATTTTTCCCCCATTTCAAGGGCTTTCCACTTAAAAAGTTGAGATATCTCCTCGGCTTAATTCTCTTCTATTATGTGTGTGTGTTGAAATCCCGTGCAACGCTAAGACGATAATTCATTACTCTTCTGTCATGAATTTTCTGGCACGCATCATTAATCGTAATTACTATATGGTGAAATATATATAATAATAATTATAGTGCATACATAGATAATAAATAAAAAGTTGCTCATGTGAGACGGATTTTGAATTTAAAAAATATTAAAATGGAGAAATCTCTTCCTATTGAAATAATTATATTACTATTATTTATAAGTTATAAGTGATCGCCCTTTCCCATAATTAGAGTAGATTTTGATATTGTAATAAGTGTATGTGAAAGCCCCTTTATAATATTTAGGTGCAATTGTGATGATTTAATTTGTTATCTCATAAGACTTACATGTTTATTTTCTATTTAATAATATTTTTTTTTATTTTAAAGTTGGTTTTATGCTGACTTTTTTGTTACAATTTAATAATTTTTAATTTAAAAAAAAATTCAATATGTCAAAATTAATTTTTGATGCATTTTATTAAAAATTTTGAATGTATTTTTTTTATTTATAAATCTTATTAATCGCATTGTAAGAACACTCTAAACTTTCTTTTAGTAATATATATATATATATATATATATATATGCATTATACATATGTAATTATTCATTTGTGAGTTTAATACGCTTGAACATATGTGAATATATGCAGGTATAAGAAAAGATTATAATATAAGGGACAAAGGAGAAATATGAATAATTATAGGCATAAGCAGAAGTTGATAAACAGGGGATAATGAAAAAAAATATAAAATATAAAAAAAAATTATGAACTATTTGTTTATGTTATGTTAATTGTTTTTAACATCATGTTAACATAATTATTTATGTTCTTAGTTTTAATATATACATATTATTCACATTAATCTCATACCTATAATGTACATACATACATACAATAAAAGTAATGTTAAAATGTTATGTTAGTTCACTTAAAGAAATCTTATCATTTATAAAATGTTATTTTGATAGATGCCTATCTTTTGTGCCTTAAAATTTTATGGTTACTTGTGGTTCTTGAGACAATGAGAGTATAATCGTGTGATCATTAGTGAATTGTCTGATTATTCCATTTTATAGAATGAACGATTACTGATTCATATGTTTTAGTCTCAATAAATAGGATGTTGCCTTGGTGTCAATGACATGTGTATCATTTGTCGACAATGATATACATCAGTGTTGGCTTTAATGGCTAGCATCCAATTTGTTGATAAATTCACTAACATTAGCGATGATGGGAGGTGTTGATAATGATGTTGATGACAATCACAGAATGATTGTTTTATTAATGATTTTAATATGTTATTAATCACATAAATTTTTTTGAGTATTTAAGAGTTTTAATGATATAAAATTGAAAGATCATTGGCTTGTTAGAATGTTTTTTTTTTTTTTTTGTTGTTGAAATTAATACTTATATTATATCAACTTGAAATAAAATTCATTATTTATAGAAATTAATTTAAAAAAAATATAATTTATACACTAGCAACAAATTCCATATTTGATCAGATAATTTTATGGTGACACATCCAAGAATGAATTTTAATTTTATTAATATTATTTAAAATGAGTATAATATAACTTTTTTATTGTTTATTTATGCATTATATTTATTTTAAAATAAATTTAAAATAATATTAATGAATTATTTAAAAGAATATTTTTTTTCTGCAAAATTGATCTCCATAATTTTGAGAGACCTTAGCCAGTTTTAGAGCAGTGCTTGGACTAATAACTGAAGCCAACTGGCCAAATAAAATTTACATACAATTGTCCAACGCACCTGGGCTTCTCTTCCGCTTCTTACGTCTTCTTCCGTCTTCTTGATCTGTTCTTCATCCCTAACACGAGGAAAATCGGCGGCTGCAATGTCCGCTCTCGTCGGCCTCTTCTAATTCGGCCGTTGGAGGAGGGCTCGGTCGTACCGTTGCTTTCCTCTTACTTTCGGGTGAGTGCTGCGTGCAGACTAGGTTTTTCCCACTAGATCTTGCTGAAATTAAGCTTTTTTGTTTTGTTTCTTGCTACTATGCTGGTCTTCAAACGTTATCCATTATGCATGGTACACAGTTTTGATGCTAGAGTAATCGGTGGATCCATGTACTTGTGTGCTTGAGGTTGTCGATCTGGTGTGAAGTGGAGTTTTTGGTTGGTGTATTCTTTTTCCTTAGGGTTAAAGGCAGCCCCTTTTCTTCTGTTTTAATTTCTTTTTTTTTTTTAATTTTTGCGGGATGAGTTGTTAGGTATTACTCAACTAGGATTAGTCTTTTATTATTATTATTATTATTATTATTCTCATGTTACGCTCATTCGATGTTTTCTTAAGTATCTCTGCTAATTTTCATGATCATTGGCACTGGTTTGTACTTATTAAGGGGGAGGCAAAACTCTGTTGATATAATTTGTGAGGATTTCAGGACTTCTGATTTGTTAGTTGTGCTTTGTTGTTTTGGTTTATTGATTGCTCTGCTCGTTTTTATCCACCCCTTACTGTTGACTTGGCATCATAAGACCTATTGATGTGCTACAACAAGTTTGGCACTTAGGAATTTGCTTTGCATTGGCCAAACTTTGATTAGTAGAGCCAAAGCATTACATGATAAAGGGTTGATTATTTATGGTATGTGATTTGATGATTTCATCGCCCAAGTAAAAAATGGGATTGCACTCAACATTCTTTCCCATGTATAGCACTTATGCTTTCCTCCCAATCCTTGTAGTTTGTCATATATTTTAGTATTTTTTGTTGGTAACTGTGGGCTTTACGTGTAATGCATGTTGAACTTTAATCAGTATTTCCTTAACTCGTGACAAAAAATTGATTATGGCTATAGATATTTTTGAACGTTTCACCAAATAGGTTGTGGGGTGATAATAGTTATATTGGGTTTGTCAGACAAGTTGGAAAGGTCTATTAACACTTTTTTTTAGTTAGAGAAGCCGATTTAATGGTGAAGAAGGTTCGATCCACTAGTAGATGATATTTTTTTATCTGTTGTGTGGTATGAATTTGATCTTTTAGTTTTTTTCCTCTTCTAATACAATATCAAGACTTTAATACATATTTTATTTTTAATATTTTAGTTTGTTGGATCCAAGTTATCCGTAGAAAGATACTAATACTTTACTAGAAAAATGAATCAATATAAAAGAAAGTATGAGAGATAAGCTTGATCTCAGTAAATCTCTTGAATAATTTGTTTACAACGAGCTCAATCAAATCCTTTTGAACATGGAAAGTTGAGCTCAATCGGGCTATAGGGAAGCAATTTAAGGAGAGATTTTATGAATAATTTTAGAGAGATTTTGTCTAATTTGCGTTGTTAATGCTCCACTAATGATAAGACGGGCTGAAGGTCTGTGTCATAGACTTCGCAATGCAGTTACACGGAATATGTATAGGTTGATTTTGTTGTTAGCAACTTATAGTTGGCGAGTTAGACTTGTAGTTGATCGCTACATAGAATGGCTTTAGGCAAGTTTTAATTGAGGGTAACTACCCTTTGCAATTTATTTCAACAAAGGCAACTAGTCGATGCATTGGGTGAGGTGAAGAGTAGTTGTGGGCCAATAATCTTTACTGATAGGTGGCTTTGTGAGTCCCTCGGGTGAATTCAACGACTTTTGAGCTAAGTTGGAGCTCACTTTTCAATGATTTATTTGAAATATAGTTCATGGTGGCACGAGATTTTGGACAATTTTATACTTTGCAAGTTCTGAGTTGTAGGAGGTTCAAAGTAGCTCTCAATTGACAACTTCTTGAACTCAGTTTTAGTCCTCATAATGACTTAATTTACCTACCCATGTGAATGTGCATGCATATCAAATCTCAGATTCTTTTGTCCTTTCAAAGTAATTGAGAAGGAACCGAGAATTAACATTTTAACGAACCTAAACTATTCTAGTTAACTTAATTTATAAGCATGGATTGATCCAGAGTGTTGAATCAACAAAGAGTTTGAATTTTTGGTTTGTGTTTGACACATAAACAACGATGTATGGATATTTGAGGTTTATGATTACTTTTTAGAACTTTATTATTTACACTTTTGATCTAGATTTGTTTTACAGCTCTTCTTCATGTTGATATGAACAAGTTTAAGCATGTTCTAGGCTTGATTGTTGTTGATGAGGTTTGAAAGAAGTTCAGAGAGGCTACTATCGTCTATAAAAATATTTTCATCAAGAAAGAACCTCCCTCGTGGAAGGTGAAGATTGAAAAATGGAAGAAGGCCAGAATGAGATAAACCTTCAACTAGGAAAGGTTATTGTGAAAGAAGCCAATGATGCTAAGAAAATTGTAATTTATAGAGTGGATGATTCAGCAAAAAATTTTGAAGACATTCTAAAAGATGCTTCAGCAACAATGGGCGACACTGATTATCCCATGATAGGAGGATAGGGAGGAGAATTTAACTCTTCAAATCTATTTACTTAGACATGAATAATTAGGTCCTTAAACAATGTAGATTTCAACACATTCTTGGATCGAGGTTTTATCTCCAAGTTAATCTTTAATCTGCCTAAGGAAATTAAGGAGTGAATTGGTCAATGCGTAGAGCAACTTCAACTGAAGGTGAAAGTAGGTTCCCATAAATTGTTTATGAAGAGAAGGCATAATAGCATAGTGCTAAGGATTCATCTTCTAATATTGCTGTGATTGGAAGCAAAATTGCCAGAGAAGAGGATATTAAGAGATGTATTAATGATATTAAGTGACCCTTCTTAAGGAGTTGGAGTATGTGTAAAGACGATGATAATAATGAATTCCATTTCATGAATAGTGACGACCTTATTATTGATGTTAAAGAGATAGATTAAACAGAGATAGAACACAACAAGGACATTGGTGATGATGAATCTGATGTTGGTTTCAGTAACGAGCATGATTGAATTGACCAAAGTGCAATGTTATTAAGGATGAGGTGGCTTCTTATAATGGGTTTGAAACTCATACCAATAGGGATGTGGATTTTGAGGGCGACTTTTTCTACGACAAGTTCACTTTAAGGAAAATCCATAATGATGATCTTGAAGGCTAGATTTCTGGAAATGCTACTAAAATTGAAATTTTTAAGAAGCTAATCGAGATTAAGGAAAAAATGAACCCACATGAGATGGATTCTCATAATGAGGTTGGAACTCATACCAAGAGGGTCGTGGATTTTGAATGGACTTTATCTACGACAAGTTGGCTTGAGGGAGAATCCATAATGATGATCTCGAAGGCTAGATTTCAGGAGGTGCTACTAAGATTGAATTTTTTACAATGCTAATTGAGGCCAAGGCAAAAATGAAACAACATATGAGGTGGCTTCTTATATTGAGTTTGAAACTCATGCCAAGGGGTTTGTGGATTTTGAGGGGACTTAGGGGACTTTTTCTACTACAAGTTCACTTGAAGGAGAATCCATAATGCTGATCTCGAAGGATAGATTTCAGGAGGTGCTACTAAGATTAAATTTTTTAAGAAGCTAATCGAGGCTAAGAAAAAAATGAACACACAGATTAAGAGTTTGATGAGTTCAGAGTAGATAGTTGCTAGGCTCAAAGTTTCTAGTTAACCTGATGAAGACCGCCTTAATCACATGAAGGTTAAAGTAAAACAGTTTGTTGCAAGTTGCCTTGCTAAGTTTTCATTGATTGTCAATCTATAATTTTTTTGAAAATCCCTTAATCAAGTATGAATCTTGATGTAAGCATTCGAATTTGAAACTTCAGTATCAACGTGAAGACCATCTAAACTCGGATTGATGCAAACTTATGATCAAAACAAACAGCTTGATGAGACAAGCTCAGCGACAAATAAAATGCTTTGATCTACATCCAATGTGCCCAAATGAAGCACTTGAAGCATAGCATAGCTAAATACTCCATGAAATTGTTTGAGGGGCTAAATGATATCCAAACCTTGGCTACTTATATTCAAAGTAATGGTCTTAATGAGAAGAATACAACAAGTTCAATATCATTCAATTTTGATGTCACTAAGATACTTAAATACATAAGAAATGGTCTATGATCAGGGGAATCCACACATGTTGTTTGATGCCGTGTTTAAAGATGTTGGCTAAAATAATAAAAATATTACCAAAAGAATAATAATTACACCCTTAATCTTCAAATAAAAGGGGTCTAAAATTTGTGATATTTTAGAGATCTAAGGAACCATAAAGCTCCATCTAATGATTGCTCCTTATGATCATCGTCGGGAATCGCCATCGATCTATTGTTGTCTTCGGATTGCTGCCAACCAACATTGTCATCTGGTATCACCCGATTATTATTTTCTCATAATCGCATCTGACGACGCCCCATTGTCATTTCCCAATCACTATGACTAAGGCTAATGCCATCAATTGATGACCATCTCCTGATCACCACCATCACCTTTTTATCGCTTCTTAATAACTTCCCAATATTTTTACTAGAGGCCAATCAAAATTCGTACTTGTAAATTTTAATCCCATCTTCTTTGATTGTGGGGGAGAGTATATTTTAAATTATTTATGTCATAGTGGATTATTTCAACTGGGCTACGCTCAGTGTCTGTGTGTGTGTGTTTTTTTTTCAGGTTTTTATGTAAAAAAATTGTATTTTTAGTGAACTTCTATATATGTATAAAGCTTTATGCACTATTAATATATTCACTTTACTGCCACAATTCCTCTAGCATGCAATGCCCATGATATTTGCCAAGAGGTCAGTTAAATCATGATGGTCATTTTATAGTGAAGTTTTCTAAGATTTTCAAAAGGAGCTAATTTGTTGTATGGGCTAAGTGAGTTTGTTCTTCGCTAATTAATCCAGGGCTGAGATCCCACTTAAAAAAATATATTTGATTGTCAAATACATTGTGTCCAGAGGAGCTTCATTGTGCCAATATTGCAATTAAGAGTCTGGCTGCTGGTCTAAGTCCTTTTTTAGAGCATGAACTTGAGACATGATGTT